CTGACAGAAAAACTGGCAAGAATATGAATAATCATTTCAAAAAAGAGCAACTCCAAATGGCCCACAAACACAAAAAAATGCTCTACCGAAAATGTGAACTAAAATAAGTTACACCTTGCAAATATGAGGTGACAAAAATTAAAATTTGAGAACACTTCCTGCAGCTGATAGGGAATGCTGGTGGATATGTTCATTATTACGTATTTTATTTTTAAAGATTTTATTTATTTTTTTAAAGAGAGAGAGACAGCGAGAGAGGGAACACAAGCAGGGGGAGTGGGAGAGGGAGAAGCAGGCTTCCCGCTGAGCAAGGAGCCCGATGTGGGGCTCGATCCCAGGACCCTGGGATCATGACCCGAGCCGAAGGCAGACGCTTAATGACTGAGCCACCCAGGTGCCCCCATTATTACACATTTTTGGAAAGCCATCTATAAAATATATCAAAACTAAAAAATACACATTCGGATTGACCCATGGATCCAACTCTTAGATACATATCCCACAAAAACAAAAAGATCTGTGTACAGAATATTTATTGCAGTACCTTCTGCAAAAGCAAAAAATGGAAACAATATGAGTGCCCATCACTATAGAAATAGTTAAACTGTGGTAATACCCCATACCATGGAATATTAATACTACACAATCACTAAAATAGATGTTAGATGCATATAAATTGGTTTGGAGGGATTTTCACAATCTATTTTCAGGTAAGAAAGGAAACAGGATGATCCCATTTGTTGTATAACAATGTATATATATATATTGCATATGATTTTGGAGGTGACTATGGAAGCATGGAGAAATGCAAAAGGAGATACATGCCAGGTTGTAACACTGATTACCTCAGGGAGGAGAGCAGTAAGAGCTGAGTATTCATGTGACAAAGGAAACTAAACCAAAAAACATGAGACCCCATAAGCCAAGAGGTCCTTAAAATCACATGTATGAATTCAACTCATTTACATGTATACGTCTATAAAGAAATATATGAAAGTAACCTCACTAAAATATTAAGTTATTTAAGAGTAATGGCTTTTCAAGTGATAGTTTTCCTTTTTTCTTCCCTATGCAAATAAAAATCAACATATTGAACTTGATGCACAAAGAACCCTTACAAAATAAGAACATATATACTCATGTGGCATACATTTGGTTGCAAGAAAAAAGAAAATCCAACTCTGGCTTAAACAAAAGTGGAATTTATTGGCTCACATCAGTAGAAAGTCCATAAGTAGGGCTGATTTCAGGTCCAACTTGATCCAAATGTTCCAGATTGCATCAGGGCTCCAACTTAGACTCCCTCTCATTTTTTTTGGTACAGACCCAAGGCTGGCTCCTTTATATTAGAAAAACTAGTTGCAGCAAGTTCAGAACGTGAATCTTCACACCACACTATCTCCAAGATGGTGTCTTCTTTCAGCATTCCTAAGCAAGCCTCACCAAACATCTTGTTATCTAAGCAGCCTGAGCTGGGTCAGGTGACTATCCTTGAACCATTTATTTTGGGGGATGGGGGAAGAGGAAGCGTTAGTAGCAATGGTTAGAGGTAACCAGGCCAACCCTACGTAGAGCTGGGGGTGTGACAACCCCATCTAAACCACATATGTGAAGGGAGGAAGCTGGTTATCCAAAGAAAATACGGGTGGAAGTGAATGCTGTATGGGCAACCACAACATACATGAGCAAGGAATTATTAAAGAAAACAATACAAATATCCAATAAAATATTAAAACTGCCAATCTCACTAGTAATTAAAGAAATACAAATAAAATTACATAATTTGTCGCTTACCAGGTTAATTAAAAAAAGTATTATGTGTGAGAGATGCGGGGGTGCAGGACTGAGAACAGGTGCACACACAACTGGAAATGTGTTAACACAACAGCTCTAAGAGGCACTTAAGCAAACTTTATACCACAATCAGAAACAACATGGATTCCTAAATATGAAACAAAAAGCTAACAACAAATAGTAAAATTTAAAGCCCCAACAGAAATTGACTCCTTTTTTGTTGTTGTTGTTCAAACTGGTAAAATGCTCCCATTTTGGGGGGGGGGGGGGATCAGATATTCCTCGGTAAATCTGCATTTATATTCCTTAGCTCCAAGTCTTGACTTAGCCTATCTGTTTCTTTCTATTTACTTCTTTCAACATTCTTAGACAAAACCCAAGATGGAGTCTCTAGTTAATTACCCAAGCAATAGCTGGGGTCAGAACTAGGGTAATGTCTTCCAGAAACTGATTAAAGGCTGTTTCCCAGGACTCCTGGGTGGCTCAGTCATTAAGCGTCTGCCTCCAGCTCAGGTCATGATCCCAGGGTCCTGGAATCGAGCCCCACATCGGGCTCCCTGCTCCGCGGGGAGCCTGCTTCTCCCTCTCCCGCTCCCCCTGCTTGTGTTCCCTCTCTTGCTGTGTCTGTCAAATAAATAAATAAAATCTTTAAATAAATTAATTAATTAAATAAAGGTTTTTTCCCTCTATCTAAACAGACAAAAAACTTTCAAAGTATGACTAGTGAAATGGAACCCAAGATACAGAAACATAATACTTAAATATTGAGAAGAACTACAATCCAGAGTACCTAGAGGATTATCCCAGTTCCCTTGAAAATATGAAAAACTATACACTAAACTGTGTTTAAAGATATTATGGATATGAGGTAGGTCTGTGCCATCCCACAGAGAGAAAAGGTAGTGGTATAAGGATTCTTTTATGAGCTATGGGGTCAGTTCCACACTTGTACAGAGTCACATATATTTCTTGAGTATGCTAAGTACAATGAATCAAAATCAAGTTCAATTCCACTGTGTTCAATTATAAAGTCAACTCCAAGTGTGAATCTGTAGACAGGGCAATTAAGTACTTGAAACGAGAACATTCCCCCAGATTTCAATTCTGAGCAAAAGACTATTCCCAGATTTAATTTTTCTCAGGTCCAATTACAAAGTTAAGGTCCCATACATCTCCTGATCTTGTATCTTTCCTAAATCAGAGATTTTCATTCCATCCAAAGAAGGAAAAGGACTAAGAGACCAACCACTCTACTACCTTAACTTTTAGATCAAATGACTTACCTGGTTAGTTTACATCAATGGAATTTACTTTATAACCAAGAAATCTGACTTACTTCTATTACACATAACAAAAAAATGATTTAAAAAACATGAGGGAATGCCTTTAATCCTGCTGTGTTAAAACAAAAGAGCTAGTAACAAAGGAGTGGTGGTGGAGACCATAGACTGAGATGGTATAGGCTTGTAAGCCCCTTGCAGGCCCAGATCATTTGAGGACTGCACTGAGGTTAAGGATGGCCAGGCAGGCCTAGGCCAGGAGGAGAAAATGTTCTCTTCCCCTTACCTCATGTTGCAAGGCCTAAATGCCTGGATCAGCAGGAAGTGGCTCTTGCCTAGCTTAAATTGTGTCTTTCTAAACAGAAGTGTTCTTTCTAAAGAAAGAACATGTTGTGTCCAAAGGAAGGATGGCTAAGAGAATTCTTTATTCTGCAAGCATAAACAGGATGTATTTTGTTCTTATTGCATTTCGTGTATATTTCACTTCACAGATGTTGGCTTGATACTTTAAGTATACATTGTTATGTTTATCTGATCTCTGCGAGTATATAGCTATGTGAGAAATAAACGGCAGTATGCAGTTGCAAGTGCTGCCTTTGCTCTGCATCCCCTGTGTCCTGGTGATTTCGTAGACCCTTACCCAGGGACCCCAACGCACTAGACGTTGACAATAGACTAAATGAAAAATGCCTTCACTGGAATCCAGCTCCATCACTGATGAAAGTTTGTCATCTTTGGGGAGTTACCTAGAAAACCTGTATTTCATTATCCTCATCTTTAAAATGGGCATAATAGGTTTACCAAGCAGTTTCTTAAGGTTGCTGTTTAATGAGGTTTAATGAAATAAATAAACCAGCTCTTAGAACATCTGGTACCAAGGAAGCTTTCAATAAATGTTAACTATTACTCTTAATATAAATTGAGTATTTATTTATTTGTTTAGGTCTGTGTCAGTACGCCTAGAATTCAAAGCACTATATTCTAATATTTCTAATTTGCACCATCTGCAAAAGGCACTTTTAAACTATTTCAAATGATTTGGAAATGAAGAATTAACAAAATCCTCAGCTATTTAAGTGACTAATTTCAGGTATCGTAACTACTTCACTTAGGAAACCTCCACTAGGAAATAAGCTTGCAACAAAATAGTAAAGTGAAAGCCATATATGAGAAACTGAACACTATATTCAGATGTTCCTCAGCCCATGAGAGTGATAGGGAAATGTAGAATACCTCCTCCACAAATGCATCTAGGGAAAGCAGGCTATATTTATTTCAAAAACTATAAAAGGTTACAATATAAATCTATCAAACAAAATTAGTTTTTAAAAGTGACTCATATGTATCCAAATTTTGACCAAATCAACACAACAATCCAATGCACAAGATTATTATATAGCTCAAGGAGCAAAAAGCAATAAACAGAAATAAATGTCTTGTCAATACAGACACTACATAAATATACAAATCTACAGCTTTAATGTAACACAAATCGTGAGTACATGTGTTAGCTACCTTTCTCCAACAGTAAAGGAGTAAATGTTTTATATTTAGTAAATACATATATAATGTATAAAACCTTTAATCACATGTAATGTGGTCTCACAAGTGTGAACCAAGTAGAATGTAAGGTTTTCTTATGTGAAGATGTACAGTTCAGAAAGAATCCAACCTGAAGTAAATCCACTATCACAAGTTATTGCAAAGGTGACCCAGGAAAAAAATCTATCATTTGCAACTGTATACAAAGAACAAACTGCCCAGAAATTAATATCAGAAATCTTACTGAGGGGTATCATGGTAACCTGCTTGAAAGGACAAATAACTTACTTGGGGGCTTAATATAGCAGATAACAACGTTAAATTAAATAACACACGAGTGAAAAAAATAGGCAATGTATAATAGCAAGAGGTTAGAAAACTGAATACTGTGGAAAAGATTTATTAGTCTGTACAAGTTGGTTTTGATAAACTATTGGCTACTTGTTACAGTAAATTACCAAGATTTTCATTGCAACAGTATTTTCCCACACACATCAAAATCTGGAAGCAGTATGTCTCTCGTATTGTCATTTAGTGTTCTATTTTTCCCAACCCTCAAAACACAGATATAGGTTTCTGAATATCAATTAGCCATTTACGGAAGTCATAAGATACAGATGTTCATAAACATGACACAAGCTACAATTGAGGTACCTGGACAAACACCACCAACATTTATGGGAAAAGGTGTTGGTTTTTAAAGTGGTAAGGTAAGTACTACATGAGTTACATAAACACACTATTCTCGTCCTTCCAAAACCAAAATGGGGGAAAACCTTATTGTCATCCTGCCAAACACCACATAACTAAAAACGCTGCACAAAGGGTTAGAATCCAATGTACATATCACAGAGTTAAAACTCCAGTTAAGCAACTGAGCTACTCATTAAAGAAAATTTAAAAGCAAGACCAAACTTCTTAACACATCAATGCTATTTTAGAAGCATCATCAGAACAAACAAAGATTTAATTATAAATTGGCCTGGACTGCGTCCTGTAGAGAATTTCGCTTAGTACTAAAAGAGAATCTGTCGGCAAACATCCTACAAAAGCTATGGAATCATGCTCTGTGTTATTCCTGAAAGGAAATTTGCCAGGTTCGATGATACCTGAATATCTCCCAGTGGTTCTGGGAGTTCTACATACCAATTAATTCAGTAATTGATAGAGGAGTATTTAAGCAAAGAAGAGACCAAAAGTAGACCTTGTATCAACATAGACTAGATAGGTGGATTTTTTTAATCACATGATAAATGTAAATCATAAAATCAAATGTACTTTAAAAAGTACACCTATTTTATGTTACATAAAAAAACTGTAGACTGCAAACTGTGCATGCTTACCATAACATTGTACCTGGGAAAGCCGATGAGTGGGATTTCTTGCAAATATTTACTGCCATGATACAAAACAAATATGTGCAAACTGCAAGGTCCCTAAAATAGCAGTTAAAGTTTATATACAGAAAGATGTCACTATCTGATCAAATATGCAAGAGATGGAGTTTCCCAGAGTTTATAACATAGAACAGTAACCACCACAGGCTCCTCCTCCAGGGCCTTCTTCCCTGTGTGTCAGTTTGACTCCTTTATTCTGGTTCTCACTTTCCCACAGTCCAGGCGTCTGAATGATCTTTTCAACAAGTTCCTCAAAGGCACACTGTACACCATCACAGGTTTTTGCACTTGCCTCTAAAATTGAAGAAAAAATGTCAGAGTCTATTCTTTTCTGGTCATATCCGATGTTTTCCTGGGAAATTATTATGGCATAAATATCAGCCGGCAGTATATGCAGAGGCAAATGAGCAGTTTCTCCCCAGAGGTTTAATATTCGTGAATTTGCCCCAACTCTCAAAGCTGAGCTATTCAAATTCTATCCACAAGAAGAGTGGTATATAAGCCCAGGATTTTGTGATAGACTTGTACACTGTAAAGACCTACTCAAATATTATGCCAAAGTTCCTTCTTAATTTTTCAGTTAGTTCTTAAAATCAAACCCCAAAACAGATTATCCCCATTTCAGAGTAAGGAAATTCAGGCTCCAAGCTGAACAATCTGGCTCTTCTGTGCCTGCAACCAAGCAGCTATAGGTGACTGGATAAATGATATACAACCATGGACACTGGTCTCCTTTTGCATTTATGCTCCCCATGAAACTCATGTGGACATTGAGCCCTGCTCCCCAATCCTACCTTTCCCTAGTAATTACCTTTTTCACTATCTGAGATGACTCTCATTCCTTTATTGTAAAACTCCTCTATCTCAGCTCATGACCTAACTTTATGTTGAGAAAAATAGAAATGATCTGACAGGAGCACTGATCATCCCACCAAGAGAGTCACCAACCTGTCTGCATTTGTAACCTTAGGCTCTGCCTTCGCTCCTGTGACAGTGGATGAACTGTCCCTGCTGCTATCTAGGAGCATTCCCTTTTCTACTTCTCGGATCCCATCCCTTCTCATTCACTGAACAATCATGTGTCCTCACTACGGGATCACATCAGTCAGCTTTAAAAAGCCTGCCAAAATTACTGTCCATCTTACTAACCAACCAAGTAACCAACTACCCTGCCTTCCAGCCCACACACTCTTCTAGAAGCCACCCAGGTTCTCTACTCTCTTTCAAAGCAAAATTGTCATCAAGAGTTACCTATGTAAGCTGTTTCCACTTTCTTATTTCACATTTTTTCTTCAGACTCTAACTGACCCTTGAACAACACCAGTGTGAACTGTGCAGTTCCACTTACACATGGATTTTTTTCAATAAACACAGGACAGTGCTGTAAAGGTACTTTCTCCTCCTTATGATTTTAATAACATTTTCTTTTCTCTAGCTTTACTGTAAGAATGCAGCATGTAATACACACAACATACAGAACACGTGTTAACTGACTTTATCAGTTAAGACTTCAGGTCAACAGGCAATTTAGCAGTTCAGTTTTGGGGGAGTCCAAAATTATACGCAGATTTCTGACTGCAGGGGGTGTGTCAGGACCCCTAACCCCACATTGTTCAAGGGTCAACTGTACTCTAACTACACTTTTGTTCTCACCACTCCGTTGAAACTTTTTTTTTTTCAAGATTTTATTTATTTAACAGAGAGAGACACAGCGAGAGAGGGAACACAAGCAGGGGGAGTGGGAGAGGGAGAAGCAGGCTTCCTGCCAAGCAGGGAGCCCGATGAGAGGCTTGATTCCAGGACCCTGGGATCATGACCTGAGCCAAAGGCAGACGCTTAATGACTGAGCCACCCCAGCGCCCTTGGTTGAAACTTTTCTTTTAAAAAATACTAGCGGGGCGCCTGGGTGGCTCAGTTGGTTAAGCATCTGCATTCGGCTCAGGTCATGATCCCAGGGTCCTGGGATCGAGCCCCACATAGGGCTTCCTGCTCAGCGGGGGGCCTGCTTCTCCCCCTCCCTCTGCTTCTCCCCCTGCTCATATTCTCTCTCTCTCTCTCTGTCTCGAATGAATAAATAAAAAAAACCTTTAAAAAAAAAATTAAAAAATACTAGCATTCTCCATCTTGTCAAACCCAATGTCTTCATCCTAAATGCCAGAGACTCAGAGTTACCCCTGATTGCTCTCTTCCCTTATCCTCAATACCCAGAGTCCTGGGATTGAGCCCCGCATCGGGCTCTCTGCTTGGCAGGAAGCCTGCTTCTCCCTCTCCCACTCCCCCTGCTTGAGTTCTCTCTGTCAAATGAAAAAAATAAAATCTTTAAAAAAAAATACCCAATCTATCAGCAGAGCCTGTCACCTTTACCATCCAAATATCTCCTGGATCTGCCAACCTTCCAGAAGCCACCCACAACCACTCCCATAGTCAAAGGCACAGCATTATTCATCTGGGCCATAACAAGCCTCTTGCTTCTGCTTCTCATGGACCATTTTCTGTACAAACAGGTCTTTTTAAAAGAATATCAGATCACAGCACTACTCCCCTGCTTTCCACACTTAGAATAAAATCCATTTCTTTACCATACCCTACAAGGCCCAACATGACCTTTTAAATTTCACCTCCCGCCATCACCACCTTTGCCCCCAACATACACTATGCTCCAGCCCACAGGCTTTCTTCCTATCCCTTAAACACACTAAACTCGTTCCTACCTCAGGAAATATTTGCTATTCTCTCAGCCTGAGATGTTCTCCCTCTAGATCTTCATTTTATGGATTCTTGTTCAAATGGCACTACCTCAAAGAACTTCCCCTAATTACCTCCCATCCCCATCATACTCTCTCTCCTTCATAGCACTACTTACTTATTTAAGTCTGTTTCCTCTACTAGAATGTAAGCTTCATGAGGGCAGGGACTTTGTCCATTTTGTTCATCTGTTTGTTATATTCTCAGTGTTCAATAAACGTTTACTGAACTAATGTATCAAAATGAAGGACACCCAGCAAGTAAACAGAAAAGGTAGTACTCAATTCCTTTCTAAAACTGCCTATTACCTTCCACTTATAGCACCCTGCTTCTATCTATAGATGATGTTCTTTTATTTCCATTTCCTAATTCCTAAAAGATCCTAACAGTGGAATAGCTAAATCAGTAATTCCTAAAGCTGGCTTCACATCAGAATCAACTAGGATATTTTTAGAAACTGTCTTCCAGGCCCAGTTTCAGACCTGTGACAAGGCCCAGGGAACCTGTAACGTTAAAAAATCTCCACAGTGATAGAGCTTGTCCACTTTTCTAGACAGGGGGTCAACAAACTTTTCCTGTAAAGGACCAGATGATAAATATCTTAGGCTTTGAATGCCATATGGTTTCTGCTGTAACCACTGAACTCTGCCATGAAGCATAAAAGCAGCCACACACAGCATGTAGATGACTGCACAGGTAAGGTTGTGTTCCAATACAAATGGTAGAACCACATTTGGCTCCATGCTGTAGTTTGCCAAACCTTATTTTACCATGCTTCTCAAGTATTAATGTGTATTCAAATCACATGAAGATCTTGTTAAAATACAGATTCTAGGGATGCCTGGGTGGCTCAGTCGTTAAGCATCTGCCTTCGGCTCAGGTCATGATCCCAGGGTCCTGGGATCCAGTCCCGCATCGGGCTCCCTGCTAGGCGGGAAGCCTGCTTCTCCCTCTGCCTGCCGCTCCCCCTGCTTGTGCTCTGACAGGTAAATAAATAAAATCTTAAAAAAAAAAAAAAATACAGATTCTAATTCCGAAAAGCTGGGTTGGGACTGAAATGAAGCATTTCTAACAAACTCCCAGGTGGTACCACTGCTGTCAGCTCAAGGACCAGCAAGGTACAACTAACACTGGGTGCCCGGCTTTACTGAATGCCACTGTATCCTGAGAGGAATGATCTGTGTCCTATACAAATTCACATAATGAGATCCGATTTTTTTTTTTTTTACAGAAGGAAAAATGAACCTGGCTCTACAGTTAGCACAAGAAAATGATGAACTAAGTACATACATTTTACTGTTCATAAAGAGAAAAATGTAGCAAAAACTCCATTTTAAAATTCCTCATTAATAATGAAAGGATAAATGTTCACACACCTACCTATAAATAACATGGAATGCTTTCGTGCAAATTTCAGGCCTTCGTTTCTATCGACTTCACGATTTTCCTAAAAGGTAAATATAAAGATTAAGAAAAGCTACCAAAATACAGTCAAAATGCCAAGTGTCTGATTTCTTACCTTATCAATTTTATTTCCAACTAGCATGTTTACTATGTCATTTCTCGTGCAGTACGTTTCCAATTCATTTAACCAATTATCCAATTTCACAAAGGTATCTCTTCTTGTGACATCATAAACTGAAATAAAAAGGGTCACTTATTAAATAAGCATTAAAAGTAAGAAGCAATGGCATTATATTTCTGATATGTCACTACAAGCTAATCTTTCTAGATAGGCAAGTCTGTTTCTAAGCCTTCAAATGCTTAACAATCAGTATCTACTCAGCCAGATGGAAGAAACAAGTGTATTAAAAATAATAATAAACATATACATACACACACTTCAATTTTATTAAGACACACTGTGAGAGAAATGGAATTATATCCTGTGTGATAACTGAAAATTAATTTAAGCAAAACAACAGCTGTTCCCATTCTTAACAATAAAAGACATCCAAAAACTAAAACATTCAGATACAAATCTGTGGCAAAATACCAAACTTTTTTCCATGGATTTAAACATCTATGACCTTGTTAATTTGTTTCTTACAAGGACCAGAATTTCAACTTTGAAAAAATATGTAAACTTAACGGATAAGATCCTGATTATCTCCCTGTTATCACTTTCATCTTCCATCCCACTGCATTAAAATATATTAAGAGCTTATTAATATAAAGACCTTATTAACTTAAAGTGCTTTCTAGGGGCGCCTGGGTGGCTCAGTTGGCTAAGCAACTGCCTTCAGGGCAGGTCATGGTCCCAGGGTCCTGGGATCGAGCCCCACCTCTGACTCCCTGCTCAGCGGGGAGCCTGCTTCTCCCTCTCCCTCTGCTGCTCCCCGGCCTGTGCTCTCCTGCTCTCTGTCAAATAAATAAATAAAATCTTAAAAAAAAAAAAAAGGTGTTTTCTAAACTTAAAGATGCTAAACCAAAATAAGAGTTGCTGTTAAATTAATGAAATGAACCTAAAACCTCACTATTTATGACATAATATAAAAAGACAATTTTCCCTAAAATTGTCCAATATTTATTTTTAAAAGTTTTCTAGGAATATTAGTAACAAGTACTTTTCAACAACTTACAATGAGAATCCACATTTGGTTTTTAAATTCTGTATGATTATGAATCAACAATGCTAAGTGCTTTGTTATACTTTTTAGGACTAATAAAACAGATTCAACTAAGCAACTAGCATGCTTCTTCCTTTATAAACGCACAGCAAATGTTAATGCACTGCTGACTGAAGATCAGTTTCTGGTAACACTCCTCAGACAGACCAACTACATGTGGATTAATCCTCAATTACGTCTTCATCAACATGTGCTTTTAAACCAAATAAATTGATCTGATCTTTATCTTTTAATGGCTAGACAAAGGCCTGAAAAGAAATTTTGAAAGTTTAAATATTCATTAATATTAAATGAAGCTAATATAACTTCAAGTTACATAAAGGTACCCCTGAAGAAAAATAAAAACTTACTGACCTTCACAGATAAGGAAAATCAGAAATTGCAATAATAAAACAACAATATTTTTAAAGCAGTATTGTAAAGTAAAACCTTACCTAATATAACACCTTGTGCACCTCTATAATAGCTGGGAGTTAATGTTCTGAACCTCTCTTGACCAGCAGTATCCTAAAGGTGACAACCAATTATTACTAAATTTAAAAAGTATAAATAATATTAAGAGTAGAAAGTCAAACAGCATTATTAAAAATATCCATGCACAAGCTCATTTAAAACTTGAAATTTAAATTAGATGCGTTCTCTTACTGAAAAGTGTTACATAAAATAAAATTAATAAATACTGACTCATCTCTAGAAAAATGCATTTAAGTAAAAGGGTATTTTTTTAAGATTTTTATCACACGTGAAACCCATTTCCTTGAAAGCCATGGTTCTCAACTTCAGAAGCACAGTGAAATTTCCTGGGAAATGAAAAATTCCAATGCCTGGGTCCAACCCCCACTGATTCTGGTTTAATTGGTCTACGGTAAGACAGAAGTTTTCAAAGTCTTCCCGGGTGATTCTAATGTAGAATCAAGGTTGAGAACCACTTATTTTTTTTAAAAGAGAATGACAGGAGTGTCTTATTTTAGGTAAGCAATTTTTAGGTTGGAGTCTTAAAAGTATTTTCTCTGTATCTTCTTTTAGGAAAATGCCTAAAACCAAACCACTTGCTATCACATGTTTCTGACACATAATTGGGGGAGAGGAACATAAGATGTACACCAGCTAGGAAGTGCAAGTTTTATGAGGAAAGAGACTTCATCTGCTTAATCATCAGTTTAACCCCAGTGCCTAGAGCGATTCTTGCCACAGGACAGTTGCTCAACTTTCCTTGGAAACCAACCAGCCAACCAACCCAAACTAATTAACAAGTCTGTACTTCTGGACCGGGTTCCTTCTGTCTTCTTTCTACCATCCTTGGACTGTGGCTTCAAGATACCTAAGATTATGCAAAGCAGCAGCTGACAAACGGCTCCCTCAGCCCACCACCTGTCTTATTAAATAAAGTTTTACTGGAACACAGCCAGGCCCGTTCGATGATGCACTGCCACATGGCCTGCCTTTGGATTAGACTAAATATTTACTATCTGCCCTTTAAGAAAAAGTTTCCAGTCTGCTAATATCAAATAACCTGAAGAAAAATGAAGACATATGTCAAACATCAACTTAGCTGCCAGTCTCATAGCTGTAAATTCGAGCTTAGCTATGGGGCAAGCAGAAGCTCCTTCAGACATAAAACATGTTAATAACCTCTAAGAGGTTTATAAGATTGGAGAGGCATTTTAAACCAGCAGTGACAGGCTCCAGCTACTTATTTTCCTACTTACGTACTTTCTTTCCCTGGCCAAAATAGAGACTGCTTTAATAAGAGAGCAATAGGTAGAGAATATATGAGTAATTTATGGCCTCAGAAGAGAAACTTAAGAGGAAAATAACTTTCAAAGTAAACCACTTTGCAAATCTACTACTCTTCCCCAGCTACGCTTTACATAAATGCAGAATGTCCTTGCTTCCAGATTCTCACCACTACAGAAACAGCCCCTACCCCTGCCATCTTGAAGTGAAAAAATTAACAAAATTAAACTTTCTAAACAGATAAATTTATGATAAAAATGATTTCTCTCTTTACAAAAATTCCCTTTGCTTCAAAGTTTCTTACAAAACCTCTGATATGTAAAATTACTCAATTTGCATGTTGACTCAACTTTTCAAAAAACAGTAATATAAATTAAAGGTGCATAAAGTGAAGTGTACTTACTATCTAAAGCAGATTATAATTTGGATAATTTGATATAGGTTAGGGCAAGGACCAAGCAAGAAATATTTTAGTCACAAGATTTTTTGTTATAACAGAAAAATTCTGTTTTCATAACAAAACCGTATCCACACTATAATAAATTAATTTCCAGAAACAGCGGAAGCATTTGAGTATGAGTTTTGTTTCCCTTGATATTCACTGAGATCAACTTCAGTAACTGCTCTGATGAGACACAACATAAAAATCAGAACTGCGGAGTGCCCTGGGCATCCGACTCCTGATTTCAGCGCAAGTCATGATCTCAGGGGCCTGGGACAGGGCCTGGGATGTGGGGCTCTGCGCTCAGTGGGGAGTCTGCTTGGGGATTCTCTCTCTCCCTCTGCCCCTCCCCCCTAAAATAAATAAATAAATCTTTTAAAAATCAGAACTGTGATTCTAGTCAAAATATCCATGAAGCCCAGTGTTTTAAAAATAAAGACTAGAGCAGGGCGCCTGGGTGGTTCAGTTGGTTAAGCGTCTGACTTCAGCTCAGGTCATGATCTCAGGATCTTGGGATTGAGCCCCATGTCAGGCTCCATGCTCAGTGTTGAGTCTGTTTCTCCGCCTTTACCCCTCCCCCTGCTCAGGCTCTCTTGCTCTTTCTCATAAATAAAATCTTAAAAACAAAAAAAAGAGTAGGGCAAAAAAAAATAGTATGTTTAATGTTAAAATACTACACGATTGACACTTTACACATAAATATTTAAATTAGTCCAGCTATTTAGAGTCTTGATTTTTTGGATCCACTTATAAAAATGTTTAAGTAGGTATGATAATTTGAGCAAAAACCCTCTGCCACAATATTGGATAAGGATATATTACACCTATAAAATTTATAAGCTTAAATAGTCAAAAGTTAAGATTTTTGCTTGTTTTTGTTTTCAAGATAGGAATTTGCAACAACTGTAATAGCATCCTTGTAAGATAAGAAAAGAAGAGCTTATTATCTGTGGTTTTCTTCTCTGACGGGAGAGGAGAAAAGAGATTATTAAAGACAGAAATGGATAAAGGACAAGGAAGGATCTGGAAAGGCTAAATATTAAAATGTGGGAGGGGAAGTGAGGGCAGGATCTAGAGAAAAATAGCTTTAGAGGTGCCAAGCAGGCCGTGATGTGTGAGTGGCACTTTTGGGAGCAGTGAGGACAGGGCTGTACTTGATTATTCTATTTGACTGATCCTAGGAGGAGCGTCCAAGCAGGAGAGGAACTGATTTATACATATATATATATATATATATATATATATATATATATATTAAAAAAAAAAGAAGAATTAGAAGAAACAGTGGATTCATGTATTTCTATTTATGAGTGAGGAGGCTTCCTAAATATGACATAACACCCAAATTCATGGAAAAAAAAAAAACTGGTCTGACCACAAAAATACTAAAACCTTAGTATAGCAAAAACATCTCTCCCCACACCATCCATACCCCATACACACACTCACTCATCCTAAACAAGATTTGAAGGCAAATGACAAACAGGAAAAAAATATTTGCAGCATATGACAGAGTTAGTATTACAAACACACACACACACACACACACAAGAACATTAACATTTGGGGCACCTGAGTGGCTCAGTTAGTTGAGCTTGACTCTTGATTTAAGCTCAGGTCATGACCTCAGGGTTCTGAGATTGAGCCTCTTATTTAAAAAATATTTATACGCCTATGATAAAGATGTCACCTCAGTAATACCTGCCAACCTTTTTATTATACAGGAACTAAAAAGTAAATTTAAAAAACCTCTTGCATAAAAGAAAGATCTCACGGAAACCACCAAGCCTTAGATCCTATTCTAACATGTATATCTCACAAAACAGTAGCAAGGGCATAAAAAAGTGATAAATTCAACCATGAAAAGCATATGGAAAATCAGGCTCCCACTTTTGTACAGGAAGGAGCCAGCATTCTTAAACTGTTCAATATATTTTATTATGGCCTAGTCCAACATTTTCCAAATTGTTTTCTGTTAGACATTACTATTCTTATTAATATCATAATTATATTTTGGGGAGGGGGCAAATAGGCTACCAATCATGTAAAGTATTGAATGTTAGAAAAAAATTAACAGAAAAACATGAGACACACTTACACAGTTACTTGTTATTTGGGTTAAAATGTGTATTAGAAATAATATGCCATTCAGAGAATGCCAGGAAAATGAATCAGATCATACAATACATGAACACTTCCTGTTTCAATCTGTAACTGATACCCAAACACTTACTATTTAATCACCATGTTGAAGTACACCTCAATGTGATGACTGCTAACCAGTTCTAATGATCACATGTAACAAAAATGTATTTATATATTTACTTATCATAGTATATGTGGGAATCAGATATATAAGAGCATATTTTTATAAATTATATATGTAATGTAATATATTACAATCATTTAGGTATATAGAGAGAAGTAGGTAGGTAGGTAGGAGTGGGAGAGAAACGGGCAGACAGAGACAGACACTGAGCATCTTGGACGTTTCTGACAGTTATTGCTATTTTATTCAGTCAGCACTATCATGAAAAGGTCTTAGGAAAGCAACATGTATCAGAATGTTTGGGTTCACAGTCAAATGAAAGGACAGTAAGTAAAGACTAGGCACTGATATTAGAAAATAAGTCCAAAGTTGGCAAACTCAAATTTCTTGAATATACTAACATACTAACATGAAAAATACTTTTTTTCCTGAGCATCACTTCATCCCCTTCTCCCCAACAACTGCCTTCAGTGTTAGCTGAGTATACACTGTCTTCTTAAAACTTTAAAGAAACTATTCAATAACAATAATCCTTTCTGGCAGATAAGATGATTTTTCTATACTTTATTCTGCTTTTAAGTATTCTTAAGGGATTATAGGGCGCCTGGGTGGCTCAGTTGGTTAAGCGACTGCCTTCGGCTCAGGTCGTGATCCTGGAGTCCCGGGATCGAGTCCCACATCGGACTCCCTGCTCAGCAGGGGGCCTGCTTCTCCCTCTGCCCTCTTCCCTCTCGTGCTCTCTGTCTCTCATTCTCTGTCTCGCAAAAAAATAAATAAAATCTTTAAAAAAAAAAAAAGTATTCTTAAGGGATTATATATTTTAAAATTTTGAGTAAGTGAAACAAGTCTCTGCCTCATTACCCAATTATAAGACATAGCCATTTATTGTTTATCCATTAACCAACAAATTGTCCAGAAGTTATTTAATACAAATTGTTTACCTCTAGAACTCTACACACATCAACTTCTGCTTCTTTAAAAAATACAAGATGAATATTTATATAAAATACATTTTTAAAACTCTTACCCAAATTGCAAGTTTAGCCTTATTTCCATCCACTGAAATTGTTTTCACCTTAAAGTCAACACCTTGAAAAAAATGAAAATGTTGATAAGCATCCCAGTAAAATAATACTTTTAAAATCAATTACCAAGAAAACAAGAACACAGAAAAGCCACTTTATCAAATACCCGAATTCCACACCCTAAATTCTTGGAGTTATGGATGTGAAAATTAAAAAAAAGTGTCAGTAAAGTTCAGCAGCTTAGGATTTAGTTAGGATAAATGAAAACCAAATGCTTGCAGAATTCAAAACACTTACCTACCTGTACTTGCCTGAAAAAAATAAAAATTTTAATGGAAAAATAAACTTCAGTGTAAGGTGATTAAGGATGCACATTAAAAGCCAAGTGCTGGAATTCACAGTGCTCATGTAGAGAAGACTATCTATGGCTGACTCTGGATCAAGGCAATTCTCTAAGGGGCTCCAAATGCAACTACACTCCATCATTAAGAGTTCTGCCCACAGCCAGCCAAACCCCTAACCCAGATTCTGACTGTAAGCAGCTTGGTAAAAACATTAAAGGGCCACTTACTCCTTGTCTTATGAATTCTTTGTTTTTATCCTAAAAAACAGTATTCATTCTATATAACTTTATCAATGATCCCTTGCTACTGCACAATTGCAAAAGAATTTACACACAAAAACATCTGTGCCCAATCCTCTAAGAATCTTCTTCATAAGTGAAAGGAGGAGTGCTTAAAGTGCTATGAAAATCTTCTGTAAGTACTAATTTATGTAAAGAGAAGAGCTCCATAAGAAGACACGTAAGGTTTTACTACAAGCCCCCCTCCCCCTCCAAAAAAAACCTCTCCCTTTCCAGGAACAGGAGTTGACACATGCCATCTGGCTTAAATGAACAGTAACTGCCCACATGTCTTTAAAGAGTATCAAAATTAATGTGCTGTCTACTCCACTGGCCAGAGGCAAAACATTAGCTCAAGAAGCCTGGAAAGAAACTTTCAAAAGCCCTTATTAGCTTGTCACAATTAATTCAGAATAGTCACAAGTAAGATGAACAGCACCCTCATACACTAAATGCTTACGAGAACACCTGTCACCAATATGGAAATACATGAGTAATTCTTGGATGATTTCTGGTGATCCACTACAAACACAAATTACATAATAAAAATGCACTTTAAAATATGCATTATACCACGTCTTTCTGTATGCCAAAGATTAAAAAAAAAAAAAAGTTTGTGTTTTGGGCTAGAGTGATAAAGGAGCTGATAAAGCCATACCTAGAATCATGGGCAATTATGACAGTGCTAATAACATAGTCCAAGGAAAATTTAAGTTAAAGTTTCTATGCCGCTAAACAAACAAAAACCTCCTATTAAATAATCTTGTATTCACCAGGTCTAGATAAATAAATATTATGCCACACCATTTATATAAAAAGTATGAAGGGTGCCTGGATGGCTCAGTCAGTTAAGCATCTGCCTTTGGTTCAGGTCATGATGCCAGGGTCCAGGGATGGAGTCCCACATCGGGCTCCCTGCTCCGTGGGGAGCCTGCTTCTCCCTCTGCCTCTCTCTCTCTCTCATGAATAAAATAAAAATAAAATCTTTTTTAAAAAGTATGAAATTATTTACATTTTATTCATAATACTTTAAAAACAAAACAAAGCCTGAGAAAATTCAGATGAGGGAAATGGTTCTGACTTGGTGCAGGTACTAAATTAAGGCCACTGTAGACATTACATAGAGAAAACCTGTCATACACACTCTCCAGTTAAATTCTCAAAGTTTTTCAGAGCATAAAGAACTTTTTTTTTCCCTAATTACTCCAGACAACATGCTCAAGGGCAGACTGGCTTTTTGCTAGCTATCCAAGAAAAGAAACTCACGGTTCCCAAAATGTTTTTGTTTATCTCCCTCTCCCAATCTCCTTCTTCTCTTTTACAATTTCCTGTCTTTCATATATTTCTTGACGGTCTAATGACGGTCTCTGTCATATGTATCATTAAGTTACTCTTCTGAGATATTAGATCTGAAAGTGACAGAGCACATCCTCAGGTAACAATGCCCACTGGCATCCTACCATCAAAGTCAATACACACAGGCAGCTTAAAAGGGCACCCCATCTGGATCCAGACCCTGCAAGTCCCCCATTTCATCTTTCCTTTGTCCCTCTGGTGAATCTCCTATGCAGACACTGAGTTTTTTAGCTTTCATCTGCTCAAATTGCTTCTTCACCAAGTCTGGTTCTTCTGTTTTGCAAGTGGCTCTTAATTTGCTTTTAAAGGTGGCCACAGTAGGAATCTTTTTAATAAATCTGACTTTGCCAACTTCTTACTAGATTTGATTAAACTATCTTTTCAACCTCTTCATGTGGATGACAAGGAGCTCCTAACAGTTTGAAGCTGAACATCTAGAAAAAAACACTCCTGTGTATCTCCTCTACTCTCCTACAACTCTGAACACTTCTGTGACCAGATATTCTCTGACTCTCCAGGGACATCAGTGTCCTACAATTCAATTCAGTCTGATACAGTCAGATCCCACAGGGTAAGGGCTAACTAATAATAAGTCCTATAAGACTGCTGCACTCCCATTTCAGATGCCATCCCAAATCCAGGTTGTTACCTGTGCTTCCGACCACCTGGCTATTAATCAAAGGTTCCCACAATCTCCTCCCTTAATTGGATTAATTTGTGGCTCACAGAACTCAGGAAAAGTTGCTTACTAGAGTATCATCTTATTATAAAAGGATATAACCCAGGAACAGCCAGATGGAGGAGACAAATAAGGAAAAGTATGAGGAAGGGGCACAAAGCTCCCATGCCCTCTCCGAGTATGCCATCTTCCCAGAACTTCCATGTGTTTGCCAAAACAGAACTCTCAGAACCAGTAAATTTAGCATTTTTATGATGGTTTCATTATTTAGGCATGATTGATTAAATCACTGTCCTTCAGTGACTGAACAAAATCTCCCATCCCTCTTCCCTCTCCCCTCTCCCGAGGTAGGAGAGGAAAGAGTAGGACTGAAAATCCCAACCCTCTATCACATGGTTGGTTCTCCAGGCAACCAGCCTCCATCCTTAGAGGCTTTCCAGAAGTCACAGTACTAACATAAATTCAGGTACGGTTGGAAGGGGCTAGTTATGAAAAACAAAAGACATCTTCACTGCTTTGATCAGTTAAGAAAATCAAAGGGTTTTAAAAACTCTCTGCCAGGAACCAAATATGTATTTCTTATAAATCACAATATCCACAGAAGAACTGTCATTTTGGCTTTTTCTTATTGTTCATTTGGGCTTGCACTTTTAATACAATATTTAATTCAGTTTTTTAAATAAAGTTCTCTCAAGCGCATATGAAACATTCTCCAGGACAGACCATATGTTGTCTACAAAACAAGTACTAATAAATTTTAAAAGACTAAACTCATATGAAGTATTTTTTATCATAATCTAATGAAACTAGAAATCGGTAATAGAAAGAAAACTGGAGAATTCACAAACATGTGCAAATTAAATAACACCCTTTTAAACAACTAATAGACCAAAGAAGAAATCATAAGAAAAATTAGAGAATACTTTGAGACAAATGAAAACACAGTACACCAAAATTTGAGATGTAGCAAAAGCAGTGCTGAGCGAAATTTATAGCTATAAACACATTATAAGAGAAGAAATATCTCAAATCAATAACCTAATTTTACACCTTAAGGAACTAGAAAAGAAGAGCAAACTAAGGGCTATAAAAGGAAGGAAATAATGAAGATCAGAACCAAGATAAAGGACAAAAGGAATTGATACACAACAGAGAAAAATCCATGCCCAAGGCCTGGTTTATTTATGCCTGGTTTGTTTGTTTGTTTGTCTGTTTGTTTATTTTAAAGATCAACAAAATGGACAAGCTTTTAACTAGGCTAAGGAAAAAGAAAAGACCAATTACAAAACTCAGATATGAAAGTGGGGACATTACTAATTTTACAGACAAAAAAAGATTATAAGATAATATTATGGACAATTATACACCAACAAGCTGGATAACCTAGATGAAATGAACAAATTCCTGAAAACACACAATTGACAAAATCGACCTATCAAGAAAAAGAAAATCTGGGGCCCCTGGGTGGCTCAGTCGGTTAAGCGTCTGCCTTCAGCTCAGGTCATGATCCCAGAGTTCCAGGACAAGGACAGAGCCCCACATGGGGCTCCCCGCTCAGCAGGGTGTCTGCTTCTCTCTCTACCCCTCACCCTGCTTGTGCTCACTCTCATTCTGTCTCTCTCTCAAATAAATAAAATTAAAAAGAAAAAGAAAATCTGAAGAGACCATAAGTAATCAAAATCATCCCAACAAAGAAAAGCCCAGGACCAGATAGCTTCATTGGTAAATTCCACCAAAATTTAAAGAGTTAACACCAACCCTCCTCACTTTTCAAAAAACGGAAGAGAAAGGAACACTTCCAAGCTCATTCTAGGAGGCTAGCACTATTCTGATACCAGAGCCAGACAAAGATGGTACAATCCCAGAGGAATACTGATGCAAAAATCCCCAGCAAAATACTAGCAAAGGTAATTCAGCATCCTCTTAAAAGGATTATACACCACGATAAAGTGAGTTTTACCTCCATAATACAAGATTGGTGGAATATGAGCAAATCAATCAAAATAATATATCCCATTAAAGAATGAATGGGGGGAAAAAACACATGATCATCTCAATTCATGCAGAAAAAGTATTTGACAAAACTCAGCATCCTTTTATGATAAAAAACACTCAACAAACTAGGAACAGAAGAAAATTTGATGTTTCCTCAAAAAGCTAAAAATACAATTACCATATCATGCAGCAATTCCACTCTTATGTATATACCCAAAAGAAGTGACAGCAGAAACTCAAACAGATACTTGGACAACAATGTTGATAGCAGTATTACAATAGAAGGCTGAAGCAACTTAAGTGCTCAGATGAACAGATAAACAAAATGTGGTTTATACATATCATGGAACATTATTCAGTCATAAAATGGAATGAAATTCTGAGATATGCTACAACATGTATGAACCTTGAT